TCCTCTCTTTTTTTTTCATTTTTTTTCTTTTTCTTTCACTCGCCTTGTTTTGATCCCTCACTTTAGAGTCATTTGAAAAATATTTGATCGAACCTTTTGTGGGTTGCCTGCGTATCATGTCGCCGCATGAATCAGATCATTACGTAGTTCAGGGACACGACCAATTTTTTTTAAATGTACAAAAAACCTTTTTTTTTTGAACTTTTTTGAATTTTTCTAAAATAAAATCTTTTTCATTGATTTTCGAATTTTTTTTTCTCTTTTTTTTTGATACAAGACTTGAAAAAAGGAAAATTACATAAAGATACAACCTAAAAGACAAATATTTAAACAAGACCGGACTTGACTCAAACAAGACGAATATTTAAGCAAGGCTCAAAACACTAAAAGACTCTTACAAACTTTATGACTACAAATGAACAATCAAAGTGGACTGCCAACTAAAGAAGACTCTAATCTCCGAATGAGAATCCACCGTCATCACTGTAGTTAAGGTGCTTATTCCTGCGGCTGACCTCCCATATCATGGTATATGCGCCTTAAGTCTGTGGCAATGTGGCGTGCGAAGTTGGGCGCTACCGTAGCAAATTGCTCTCGGGTCAAACCCTGACAAGTCACACACCCTCGAGCGGTATAAGTAGCCACCTCATAGACCCTCCTTCTAACATGCTCCTGGCTCCGACTTAAAAACTGGATGTATCGCTCATGGTTATTGGCTATGTCTGATATATCCGCCTCGCGTTGTGACGCCAGATTCAGCTGGTTCTGGACCCTTGCTAGCTCATTCTCTAGCTGGTTCTTACTTGATTCTGCAGCCCTGGCCCGAGCCCTTAGATCATGGATGATAAGGTTGTAATGCATTTCTTCGTGCTTTGGAATGGCCGTTTGTTGCTGAGTAGCGGCTTCTATTCTCGCTTGTCGAAACTGTGCTTGAAGCGCTTGAACCTCATGTATTAATTTGGTTTTCTCCTCTTTAAACTCAGTATACTGCAAATCCCTATTCACGTTGACAATACTTATATCCCTACGTAGTTCGCGGATGATGGATTCATAGTCTCTTGTTATTTCCTCCTTGACCTGCCCTACTCTTATTCTGATTTCAGTCTCCCATTCCGTCGTGCTCTTCAGAACTGTCTCCTTCTTGGATCCAAAAGCATCTTGGTCATAGAACCACTCTAAATATGCAGGGTCTAACTCTCCTCGATCCTGATCTTCCACCATAGTGTGAAATTCAAGCACCTTAATTTCATCCCAAACCTGCTGAGCATATGCCTCACGAACATGATCTTCTGATGTTACCTCCCACATGAATCTTTGCATGTGCTTCACTGTGGGCACGACTTGTTTTCGAACTGATTGGCGTAGGGCTCTCATAGGCACATACGGCTGGAAACCTCGAAGACCCATCAAAATTAGAAACGAATGGTGGTAAGACCTGTATATGACTTCTTTTGGCGAGAACCAGTGGTAGTTCCATGTGATTTCAGTAGCGGTCAACTTTTGAAGATGCCCTCTCCATGCTTTGACTCCCCTGGGGAAGCTACTATCTTCAGTCAAATCTTCAGACCCATTTTCGAGCTCATTATTGCTCCAATGAACACTAAAATTTACCCGTGCAGGATGACTGAGAAGGTGCTCTAAAAACCATATTTGGAGTATGACGTTACTACGCCTACAACGNCAAAGTAAGGATAGAAGAGACTCCGGGCCATGCGGACGTCAGCAAGGCTACCTCGGGATCTCTGGACTGAAGTCAGCTCCCAAAATGCTCCTACTGCTGTCCAAAAGTTGCTGCTCCGGTACTGTGATCTGTGCAAAAAGATGCACAGAGTGTAGCATCAGCACAACCGACCCCATGTGCTGGTAAGTGCCTAGCCTAATCCCGGCGAAGTAGTGACGAGGCTAGACCAGACTACCAGATAAACATGTGCATATATATATATATATACAAGTACAACAAAATAATAGCGGAAAGTAAGCAATTAAAGCTGGGAGGGGGAAAACATGCTTATGGGGAAGCAGATAAAAACAGAATATCAGGATTAACAGAAGAAATTACATCTGATTTCTTCTAACACAGAATAAAGGAAAAACAAACCACTTTCACTTATTTCAATTCCTCTCATTGCAGGCGTGCAACACGATCCCATTTCCTTACATCAAGTTGTAGGCGTACCACACGCTCCCATTACAATAATATCACGTGGTCGGCGTGCCACACGATCCCATTTCATAATAACTCGTGGTCGGCGTGCCACACGATCCCATTTCATAATAACTCGTGATCGGCGTGCCACACAATCCCATTTCATAATAACTCATGGTCGGCGTGCCACACGATCCCATTTCTTTCAACACAATACACAACATAATCCCGGCAAGGGAGAAAGATGTTATAATAACTATCCCGGCAAGGGAGCAATGTAATATAATAAACTATCCCTGCAAGGGAGAACCAGCTATAACCAAACTCATTCAATCTCTACTCAACACAATTACATCCATACTTAGTCTCAACAATTACTGGCTTAGTGTTAAAGATTTCCAACCAATTCCTCATATATAACAATTACAAATTCGATAACTTAGCAAATTAGGACTCACGGTCATACTCGACACCAGTGTATAGATACTCGTCACCATGCCTATACACCGTACTCGACAAATAGCAATTAACAAATAAGACTCTACTCCTATTCCCTCAAGCCAAAGTTAGACCAAACACTTACCTCAAATGCTCCAAACTCAACTCAAGCCTTTAGTATAGATTCACCACCAAACCGCTCGAATCTAGTCACAAATTACTTGAATATATCAACAAATGCTAATCAAATCAATTTGAATGCATGAAAATGAATTTCCCAAAGTTTTACTCAAAAATTCCCAAAACGCCCCCGGGCCCACGTGGTCAAAACCCGAGGTTCGAACCAAAACCCGGTTACCCATTCCCCCACAAGTTCATATCTATGATTAGTTTTGAAATCGGACCTCAAATTGAGGTCCAAATCCCCAATTTTAAAAAAACCTAAGTTCTATCCAAAATCCTCATTTTCACCCATGAAAATCCTTGATTTTAAGATGAAAACATGTTTAATAATGTTAAAGATTGAAGAAGTTAAGTAAAAATTGACTTACAAATGATTTGGAGAAGATAAGTTTCTTGGAAAATCGCCTATGGAGTGTTTGAGTTTGAAAGAATGAAGAAATGGGTTGAAAATTCGTCTAAGTATGAAAAATGCAGGCCTCAGATGTGTGAAATGCGAACATGGGTTCGCAATTGCGAACCCAGCAGGTCTGGGAATTGCGAGATTTTAGTTCGCATTTGCGAACTCTAAAGAATGTTGGGAAGTTCGCATTTGCGAAGACTACGTCGCATAATGCAATGAGTTTCTTCGCATTTGCGAAGATTGCTGCCCTGGGTGGAAGATCACATTTGCGATGAGAAGCTCGCAATTGCGAGTTCGCATTTGCGAATGCTGGCTTCGCAAATGCGAAGCCTGCAGAAGTGAAAGATACCAGATTTTCAAAGGTTCAAAATGCAACTCGACATCTATCCAAAACTCACCCGAGCCCTCGGGGCTCCAAACCAATTATGCACACAACCTCAAAAACATCCTACGGACTTATCCGTGCGATCAAGTCGCCAAAATAACATCATATACATCGAATCAAGCCTCAAAACTCATGTTTTTCTTTGAAATGTTCATAAAGCATCAAATTTTTATTTCGAGTCCGAAACACGTCAAACGACGTCCGTTTTCAACCAAATTTTACAGAAAGTGCTTACATCACATATAAGACTTGTACGGGGCGTCGGAACCAAAATACGAACCCGATACCATAGTCTTCTGATCAAATTTCCTTTTCATTTTTCTTAATTAATTTTAGAAAACAATTTCACACAAAAATTCATTTCTCGGGCTTGGGATCTCGGAATTCGATTCCGGGCATACGCCCAAGTCCCATATTTTTCTACGGACCCTCCGGGACCGTCAAATTACGGGTCTGGTCCGGGTCCGTTTACCCAAAATGTTGACCAAAGTCAACTTTAATCATATTAATATCAAAATTTAGCATTTTTCACACAGAATTCATATTTAAGCTTTTCGGCTACGTGCCCGGACTGCGCACGCAATTCAAGGCAACCCTAAATGAGGTTTTCGAGGCCTCGGAAGCACGGAATGAATAAGAAAACAGGTGATGACCCTTTGGGTCGTCACACTTTAATGCAATTATAATTTTACCTTTTATATTCTTCTCGTATTTGATTCAACTGCTATAAAAATTATATTTGGACAATACACTAGACATCAAAAATTTACATAAACTTCCAGCTCAATTATTCTCTTGTCCAAGAAGGATATAAACAAGTTTAAATATTGCAGGTAGTATGTACTATTTGAAAATAATTGACTAAAGATCTACGTGCAACAACACGTACATAGAAACTAGTTCATATTAAAATCAAGAATGCCCTTAGCGAAATATCATTCGCCTCTTTTACTCTTTTAAAAAATATTTTATATTAAATGGAATTGTAAAATAAAATAAAATCCTAATATTTATGAGTTTTTCCAATTCAGTATTTAATATCTTTTCCTAATAAGGAATCTCCATGACTCTATGTAATTATATGTTCTTTGTCTTTTTATTTTTATCATACAAGACCAATTTTGCATGCCTCTTTATTTTCCTTTCACCTGTACTATTTGCTCTATTTTAAAATATAAATCACACATGTTTTTTTTTTTGGGGGGTCGGGGGGGGGGAAAGCTTGATTGTTAAATTCATTTGTTTCTTTTTTTTTTTTTGTCAAACTGTCAAAATTTTCATATAACCAAGTATAATATTTACAACTCACTAGCTTATTTGGACTCTTGAACTAGACTCAAATAAACACAGGCTAAACAATCACTCTCTCTCTACTACAACATCTCTACTATCTATCTCTATATGTATCTATACATGTCTAAGTAGGATAGTTGCTCAATCTTTCTAACTCATTGTGCCATTTGGATTCCTTCTGCCCTCGTATGTGTAGCTCTAGGATAATATTCTTCACCCTCTGAAGGCTTGCTATCATCTTCCCTTGAATTCTTCTTTGATTTCTCTGTCCAGACATGATAAATTACAGCTGCAAACAAGAATCTTAGCACATGAGCTCGAACTCTGCATGAACTTCTTTTTTCTAACCATTCAATCTCAGCATTCCAGCTACCTATTTGGTGTCTTTCTCCCAGCCATTTTAACAGTGTTGCCCACATATTCCTGGAGTAGTCACATTCAAAAAATAGATGCTCCATTGTCCCCTCAGTATCTTTCTCACACAGCACACAATCACTTGCTATTGAGATCCCCCACTTCCTTAATCTATCCACTGTAGCTAGCTTCTTATGCATAGCCAACCACAAGATGAATTGATGCCTTGGTAATGCTTTTGAATCAATTGTAATTCTTTTCCAATGACACTTAGGATACTGGGGCATTGTTGCAACATAGCTTCTTAATGCTAAACTTCCCTTCTGTACAGTACTTGTTCAGATCAGCAGAGAGGTCCCTTTGAGTTAGACAATCCCGAGTGTCAAACATTTTCCTAACTAGCCAGTAGGCCTGTTTAGGAGTTTGCATAGTCAGTATGTCATTCCCTTTTATATAGTAGTTGTGTATCCATTTGATCCAAAGATTGTCCTTTTTGTCATTTATTGCCCAAAGCAGTTTACATTAAGAAGCTTTGTTCCAATTAGCCACATCAATTACATTCAAACCTCCAGCTGAAAGTGGCATACATATCTTATCTTAAGCAACCAGTGCTCTTCTTGAAGGTTCATTACTTCCGGTTCAAAGGAATGTTCTACAAGCAATCATAATCAGTTTTGTTATCTTTTTTGGAAGTAGGAAAATATGTGCCCGATAGGTCTGTATTTCAAATATCACACTCTTGATCAATTGCACTCGACCACTATAAGATAGGAATTTGGTTGACCAGCATTTGAATCGTGCAGTAATCTTTTCAATCAATGGCATACACTACTGGATAGATAACTTCTTAGAGGACAAAGGAACCCCTAGATACTTGAATGGCAACTCACCTGCAGTGAATTGCATATCTGAAATGACCCCTTCTTTGAACTCCCTTGGTACTCCAGCAGTGTACAAAGCACTTTTCTCTATATTTTCTTTTAGTCCTGACACCTCTGAGAAATGTTGAAATCTGCTCATGAGTAAGCTTATGGATAGCTTATCTGCTCTGCAACACATGATTAAATCATCAGCAAAACATAAATGAGTTATGTTCTTCTTAGAGCACCTCGGGTGGTAGTTGAAGTCTGGAATGCTCTCTAGTATCTTCAGTGATCGATTCAGGTATTCCATCACCAATACAAATAGGTAGGGAGACATTGGATCTCCATGCCTAAAACCCTTTTTTGCTTAACTTGATCGGCAATCCTCCATTTATCAGTAGAGAATAAATGACAGTTGTCACACACTCCATCACAAGTTGTACAAACATCACAGGCGTACCAAATTCAAGTAGTATCTGTCACACCCCTTTTTTTACCCCCAAAAAGAATATATATGTATGTTATGGATTGTAGTGGGTTAAAGAGTTTTTCCAATTAAAGTGACAATTTTGAAATAGGATTATTTTATTTTTCAGAGTCGCCACTTGGAATTGATTTTTCGGGTGTTCCAAGTCACCATTTATTTGAATCCCTAGTCAAAGGAATGTTTGACTCTATTTTTATCGGTCCGCGAAAACAAAGTTCGGGTAAGGAATTCTGTTGACCGGGGAGAAGGTGTAAGGCATTTTCTGAGTCCCGTGGTTCTAGCACGATCGCTTTTATTGACTAAAATTGGCTTGAATTAATTTTGGATAAACTGTACTTTATTTAATTTTTATGTTTTACCTATCCGCTTTTATTTCTTGATTATTAGATTTAGCGAATGCGTGATCGAATAAAATATAATTAATCAACTCGTCATAATTGCACCTCGCAAGCGAATCCGAAATCATGACAATCAATTATTTGTAATACTTTTAAAAAAAATACTACATATATGATTAATTTTGTCTTGAAGAAATTAGCAAATATCACAATCACGCTACGCAAGCGAATCCATGTTTATGATTAAAATAATAATTGAGTAAAAAAATAATTAAAGCTATTTGGAAAAAGGCGTGAGATTATTTATAAAATTAATTATCGAATGTTAAAAACCCCGCTATGCAGGCGAACGGCCGCCTAGCACTTCTCTTATTTTGTTAGAAGTGAAAAATAGGCAAAATTAGGAATGTAGGCCAACTTATTATTCACTAATCTTAAACCATATTCTTTTTCATTTATCCAAATACAATTGATCTTCACAACAGATTATAGGAATGCATAATTTTCAATAAGTATTTAATACTAATGGCTAGGAAAAAAGCAATGGAAAAGAATAGATGATCAAGCTCCAGATTCAACTTTGCAAAGTTTACCATGACGGATTACACGTGAGGCTATGGCCTCTCTGTTTTATATTAAAATAATTCATATCAATTTTTTCCTTTCTAAGTAGACTTTATTTAACTTCTTCTTTTAAATTTAATGTCATATAACCTAAACNTACTCAACAATCCCATCCTAGTTCATTCTTCCAACTTTAAGCTTCCGAAATGAAAATTCTCTTTCCATATCAACTCTGGACTTCCCGAAATTCAATTCCGACCACGCGTACAAGTCATAATGCCCGAAATGGAGCTGCTCATGGCCTCAGGCTACTGAACGGAGCGCGAGAACTCAAAACAACCGGTCGGGTCGTTACACTATAATTGAAGCTTGAGTTGAATTCAAGGCATTGAGGTAAGTGTTTGGTCTAACCCTAGCTTGAGGGACTAGGAGTTGAGTCTTATTTGCTAATTGCTTCTTGTCGAGTACGACGTATAGGCATGGTGATGAGTATCTATACGTTGGTGTCTAGCATGACCGTGAGTCTTTAAATTGTGAATATTTATTGACTAAAATTGGCTTGAATTAATTTTGGATAAACTGTACTTTATTTAATTTTTATGTTTTACCTATCCGCTTTTATTTCTTGATTATTAGATTTATTAAGAAAAAATAATTTTTTGGATAAATTATGTTGTCATAACCACGCTATGCGAGCGAATGCGTGATCGAATAAAATATAATTAATCAACTCGTCATAATTGCACCTCGCAAGCGAATCCGAAATCATGACAATCAATTATTTGTAATACTTTTAAAAAAAATACTACATATATGATTAATTTTGTCTTGAAGAAATTAGCAAATATCACAATCACGCTACGCAAGCGAATCCATGTTTATGATAAAAAGAATAATTGAGTAAAAAAATAATTAAAGCTATTTGGAAAAAGGCGTGAGATTATTTATAAAATTAATTATCGAATGTTAAAAACCCCGCTACGCAGGCGAACGGCCGCCTAGCACTTCTCTTATTTTGTTAGTAGTGAAAAATAGGAAAAATTAGGAACGTAGGCCAACTTATTATTCACTAATCTTAAACCATATTCTTTTTTATTTATCCAAATACAATTGATCTTCACAACAGATTATAGGAATGCATAATTTTAAATAAGTATTTAACACTAATGGCTAGGAAAAAAGCAATGGAAAAGAATAGATGATCAAGCTCCAGATTCAACTTTGCAAAGTTTACCATGACGGATTACACGTGAGGCTATGGCCTCTCTGTTTTATATTAAAATAATTCATATCAATTTTTTCCTTCAAGTAGACTTTATTTAACTTCTTCTTTTAAATTCAATGCATATAACCTAAACTTAAACATGGAATATGAATTGATAATGAACTTGAGTTGCTAAACAGAATATGTAAAAGTGAAAATCTACGCTACCTTGTTCAAACATATTTATACAACCAATGACTAAACTATAAACCTTAAATGCTCTCCTCATAAATTATTACATAGTTCTTGATAGCTTTTGACCTTAAGAAATAACTTTGTAATATACACGCTGTTGAACCCAAAAAATAGCCCTAACAAGAACATCTTTTAAGAGTTTGACTAATGAACCAGAGAGAGTTACTCTATTCTTATAGAGTTACACTTGAAGAGTATAGAACCATTATACTACTATTATCATTATACTATCTTTAATTCTGAAAATTACATGAAGAACAACAATAAAGTTAAGCCAAGAACCACGACTAATAGCAACAAGTAGTCACGAACTCAAATAAAGAAGCTAAACACTTCCAAAGCGGAGAACTCCGACGGGGATATACCATCATCTCCATCTCAAATATGATTTCAAAGTTCTTGAAACTGAATCTTTTGTCTTTCTGAAAATCAAAGTATCTAAAAAAACTCTCTGAAATAATTCTAAGACCAAATTTAGAGTGTAAAAACGGTCCAACCAATGTGTGATGGAGTCGCTTATAATGAAGAAAGGGCAGCCCTTAAATAGGCAAAGAAAAACCAACTTTTTGGACAGATTTTGGTTCAACAAAAATCTATCCAAAAGAGGCTAAATTTGTGTGCTAAAAGCTGTCCAAAAGGTGAAAGGACAGCCTGAAATCTGCTATGTGTCACGACCCAAACCCCGGTCGTGATGGCGTCCGACACATTGCTAGGCAAGCCCGACCATTCACACAACCTTAGCCAATAAATCTAGATAGATGAATAAATATTCACTATTAAAAATACCAATTTAGTGCGGAATTTCTGAAACAATTTCTAACATTCGAAAACCCCAAAATGAAAATAAAATACTGATCAACCCACAGAATCTGGTGTCATGAACATGAGCCTCTAAAACAGATTATCCACCTATTACAAGTCCGACTAGGGAAAAAAATTACGAATAAAATAATAAAGATAGATGGGAGAGATCAGGGCTGCGTGCAGCTACCTCGATACTCCCGGATAATGCTGCTCAGCTAACACGAGTTCTCACTCACCCTGTGGTGTACCTGAATCTGCACACAAGGTGCAGGGAGTATTGTGAGTACTTCCAACTCAGAAAGTAATAAATATAAATAAGGTCTGAGGATAAGAAATTCCAAATAAACACAAAGTAAAGCTAATAATACCCTTAAAAAACAATACAGTTAGAATAAACATCACAACAGATGAAGAAATAAATAACAATTAAATATGCAATGCAACACATAAACCGGTACCTCCAGTACCCCGCTGCGGCCGTGCAGCCCGCTCCATTTATTTAACGTCGACGGCGCTCACTGGGGGTGTGCAGACTCCGGGAGGGGCCCCTTACGGCCCAAGCGCAATAATAAGCCATCTCGTGGCATCAAACAGGCCCTTGGCCTCATATCAATATCATTATAATACTGCTGCGGCGTGCAACCCGATCCCATACTCAGTCCAAAAATCACACAATAGTATAAAAATATTCAGCCCAAACTTCATTTAAAAATATTAACTTAATTTCTAATTTAAGAAAAAGGCTGAGATTTCAAACACAGTATTAAATACC